AGTTGTGACTAAATTTAATCCCCCATGCTACAGAAACAGCCATATTTTAAATGAACTGTAAAGAATTACAAACAATAAAGACACGGTTTTGCTTAAGACACTTCACTTGCATGTTTCACTTAATTCTAAATGATTATAATTTTCGAATAAACGTATGTGTAGAAGAAAAATAAATGACTGCAATTTCTTTCCCAAACCACTTACTACTTTCAATTACACTTAAACTAGTCCCTCCCTAAACCAAAGCTAAGTGTGGCTATCTCAGCAACAGTAACTTTACTTTATTTACGAAATACCTTAAATGCTTGATGTGGCCATCCTCAATTATTTTTATTTTGATCTATGCTTGCTTGCTTTCAGAAAATCAGATGTTATGATTTTCAAGAGTGAACAAATAAATAAGAAAAAACTTCTAGGGCAAAGTGAATTCATGTTAATAGATTAGTAGGTCCTATTTTAGACAAAATAGTGCAGTGCTCCTACTATCCCCTTACTTACACCAAATTTTAAAAATTTGATTTAAACTGATCCATGTAAATACAGATGCGCAAAGTGAGACAATTTGGCAGCTAAGCGTAACATTTTCTTTTCTCTATGAGGGCACCTGACTCACTATAGAATAAGGCATATAAGTTATTGTATACAGTGCATTTAGTGAGCATGTTTTAATAGAATGAAGGTAAGTAGTAATAACAAAAACTGTCTTTTTGCAATTACCTTTAAAATAGCAGGCATGGTTACCTGCATTGAAAATGTCTCTGTGAAGAGCCTGTAGAGGGCTTCCTTCATAAAACATGACCTGTTCCTGTATCTGCTCAGTGCTTCTGTAATCTGATTCATATTGGCTCCTCCAGCAACCTAAAAAGCAAAGATATTACCAGTAGGTTTCACTATTCATCTTCGAGCACAGGCTTTTTGGGGCCTCAATAATAACAGATGTTCAATTAAATGTTCCAGGTGCTTGACGAAGTTATCATTTAATCATAATTCTAATAGATAAATGCTATCATCAACCTCATTTTTACAAATGGGTCAAGTGAACTGTGCTGCTTAATATACAAAGCAATTAAGTGGTGGAGTCAAAATCAAAAACCATCTCCGTACAAATATATTACAGTTGAAACCTCAACTGAATGTAACATGTAAATTTTTAAATAACCAATGATGAATGCACATAATGTTTTCTCAGTACTCACATAAGACAAATTAGACAGTAAGACAGAAAAAAGGCCACAAAAATAAAATTAAAAAGGAGTTGACTTTTTTTTAGTATTATTATTATTTAGTAACTCTTCCTGGCTACTAATGACTACATTCCGAGAAGTCTATACATAGACTTTGGATCTAAAGGATAATGGCAGCCTCCTGATTCTGAATCCCTCCTACTCCCACCATTCCCTCCCATATATATATCCTCTCTCCAGGCCATGAAATCAATCAACAAGGAATTTAAATAAAACTAGACATGATCCAGTTTTCAGCATTCCTGGGTAGTGAAGAAGAGGAAAAAAATAAGGGGAAAAGGTAGAATTAAGGATCCTGCAAGATGGAAACAACCCCTTCTCCACCCTACAATTACCAATAACATCATCTATTGAAGAAATCTCACTTTACCAAATTGACAGGAGAGTGCTTTAAATTTAGGAACCCTGTAAATTAAATGCCAAGAAACATAAAGATTCAAACCAATGCCATGTAATGCAATCATAAGAAACCAGAAAATGCAAATATCAGCTGAGAAAAATTCTTACCATAAATCAGTAACGAATAGGAAAATTACAAGAGTACTTAAAACTGAATTAAATATTCTCAGTAAGAATTTTGGAAAATGAAAAAATAGCACAAACATCAAAAAGGTGAAACAAGATTTTATTAAACTCAGGAGGAAATAAAAATATAAAACCGTACCAAACATGAAGATTAAGTACAAGGTGCTCAAGGGAAAACAGATTTGAATAAAAATTTATTAAGGGGAAGAAAAGTAGGAAACAAGAAAATTTCAGGATTTAACAGTGAGTGTCAAGGCCGGGTACGGTGGCTCACGCCTGTAATCCTGGCACTCTGGGAGGCCGATGTGGGAGGATCGCTTGATGTCAGGACTTTGAGACCAGCCTGAGCAAGAGCAAGACCCCGCCTCAACTAAAATAGAAATAAATTAGCCAGACAACTAAAACTACATAAAAAAAATTAGCCGGGCATGGCGCATGCCTGTAGTCCCAGCTACTCGGGAGGCTGAGGCAG